GCTTGGGCCCCCTCCCCCGCCTGGGGTCGCTGCACAAAGGCAGCTTGGAGGTGGCTTCCCTCAGCCAGGCTCAGGCGGTCCCCTGAGGGAGAAGGCAGGAATCCTAGAGCTGTGCTGGGGTCCCAGTCTCGTGGGTGGGGGCCGCCGCGCCCTCCCCCTCCGTTGCCTGTGTCCCCGCCAGCTTCCGCATCTGTTTGGCTGCCCTCACTGCGTTTGTCTGTCTCTCTCCCCCCCACCCCGCCCTGCGTGCTCTGCCCCCCTTTGTTCTTGCCACCGAGCGCTCCCCGCAAGCTCCCCCTCCCACTCGGTATTTAAATCGCCTCCAGGCCGGGGAGCCCTCCCCGCGCGGGCCTCCGGGGACATCAGTGTCCGTCCCCAGTGGAGGGGCCTCTGTGGGGGAGGGGCAGCAGGGGGAAGGTCTTTGTCTGAGACGAGGCGGTGGCCAGGGCTTAAGGAAGGGAGGCTGGCCTGCCCGAGCCGAAAAGACTGCCCTGGGCCCAGGCCCAGTCGCCCACCAAGATGGCCTTGGGCCCGAGTTTTCAGAATTGTAGGCCAGGCAGCCTTGGGGAGGCAGCAGCAGCAGGCACCCAGGGGGGAGGGGCCGGTGATGACAGTGCCTGGAGTTGGGGTTCCTCTGGGAGAGGGGCTGGCTGGCAGGATAGGGACCTCCAGGCTGGCAGAAATGTCCTCACAGCCACCTCTGGGGATCAGACCCACCCGCCAGGAAGGATGGGGTGGGAGCAAGCCCGCCCTTCCCCAGCCCTCCCCTCCACCGCTTCCTTGTCCCCAAGTGTCTCCCAGTCTCACCCTTTTCCTTCCTCCCCAGCCGGCTCAGTTCGGGGAAGCTGCAGGAGCTCGGCGTGGGGGATGGGAGCAAGCTGACGCTGGTGCCCACGGTGGAGGCTGGCCTCATGGTAAATGCCTGCTCAGGGCCGTGTGGCCTGCGGGCCCAGACACTGGCAGCCCTTTGCCCCCACTGCCTACTGAACACATTGCAAGCAGGGCTCCCTCCCACACCACCCCACCCCCCTCCCCCTGCCTGGTGTACCTAAGCCGCAGGGTCCCTGCCCAGACCAGATGGACCAACTCACAGTATCCCTCTCTCCTCCAGTCCCAGGCCGCCCGCCCGGAGCAGTCTGTGATGCAGGCCCTGGAGAGCCTGACCGAAACCCAGGTAAGACCCTCCCAGTCCTAGGGGCTGCCTACGGGGCATACTGCATTGGGAATCCTAGGTGGACTGGGTGGCCTTAGCACCCTCCCGGGTCGGGGAAGGTATTGACCCCCCCTTTGTGCCAGCCTGGCCTGGTCACCTTACTTCCTCCTTCTGTTCCACTCCACCCCCCTAGCATCACCACCTGACCTTGAGGGTTTGTCTCCCACTGTGGCCATTGGGGGCTGCTTTCACAAGCTGCTGCCTGCGGGGTGACCTTGGCCCACTCCTGACTGGCTCATCCCCAGCCCCACACACCACCCCGCCCACTGCGGCTTTCCTAAAGTCGACTGAGGTGGTTTAAAAAAAAATTCTTATAATTTGATTAAAAAATTTTTGTCTTTCAATTTTTGTTGGGTGAGGGTTTCAGAAAGGGCAGGACTGGCCAAGTTATGCCTACTTCTATCTGCTTGACACCGCCCCTCCCATCCTATGGAAGGTGGGGAGGCACCTCATACCCCTCCCCCCCTGCCCTTTGTTCTCGGCCCCAAGGGGGCGGGGGCGGCTGCGCTTGGCCAGCAGGGCACTGGCAGGATGTTGGGAAATTATTTAGTAACCTGGAGGAGGCAGTGAGGGGGGGTGGGGGGGCTTGAGCTTGAGGCTGTCTCCCCACAGGGGTTCCCAGTTTTGTGGGGACTATTTTTTTCCTCTCTTTCCTCTTCCTGCTTCCCTCATTCTAACGTAGTGGTGGACCTCCCGCTGGCCGCCTCCCAGGCAGCTGACACAGGCCTGCTGCCAGGGTGGGGGTGCAGGCAGGGGCGGTAGGATCCCGGGCCTCCCCAGCCAGGCCCTTGGGAAACCTGCTTGACGGCTTCTCCAGAGGAGGAGTTGGGTCCTCAGCTCCCCCCTCCCCAGCATGCACCATCCTGCCCGGGAGAGAGGGGCTTCAGGGACCTAGGTGGTCTGCTACCAGGTTGGGGGGGTGCCTGGGGTCCCAGCGGCAGTGGGTGCACGTGACTTCCTGGGGCGAGTGTAGACAGCTCTCTGAGGGCTGGGGAGGAGGCTGTGGTTGGCAGGCCGCCCCCCCACCCCTCCTCCCGCAGGCTGGATTCGCATCCGCCCCGGGTGCCTGCGTCAGGAGGTGGGGGGGGGCCCCCTGGGCGGAGTGACTGGGCTCCTGGGGCCATGTCCCCGCCTGGCACAGTCATGCCCGAACACCCTCCCCAGGGAGGAAATAGTAGGGTGGGGGACCCCACCTGCTCCCGGGAAGTCACCCCTGGGCCCTTCCTGCAAGGAGGTGTTGTCTCTGGACCGGGGGGCTGGCAGCAGGGTGGGGGCCGCACCCTGCTGCCTCCTCCCCCTCCCAAGGCCCCCTTGCAGAGAACTGAGCTGGGGTGGAGAGAGGGAGGCAGCCGCTGAGTCACTCCGGCCTATGTCACTTCTCAGAAACCTCCACGCCCCCCCCATCCTGGCCCCTGGGGAAGAGGACAAGGCGCTGGCCAGGCTCAGAGGAGGGGGGCCCCTAAAACCAGTTCAAGGGAGCAGATATGCCACTCCCCACCCACCCCAACCCCCACTTTTGGCCTTGGAGAGGCTATCTTTGTATTTCTTGTGAGGGGCTGGCTTCGGCCCTAGGTAAAAGGGGTGGGGGGACTCAAACCACAGGGAACCAGTAGGGCTCCCTTCCCTGGGGGCGGCACCATTCCTCAGCCTCAGACCTAGCCCCGCCCAGGACAGATAAATATTTATCTTGAGAAAGCAAAGGTTAGGAAGAAAGAATTTGTACAGGAATTCCACCCACTCATTGGCCCTCTGGGTGGCTTAGCTGGGAGGGGGCTGAGGCAGGCCTCCCCTCCCCATGTTCATGGGCACCGAGAGGGTGGGGCCGTGGTGTGGGCTATGGGTTACTAGAGAGCAGGCTCTGCAGCTGGGCCCGCCCCCTCTGGCCTCAAGTTCCCTTTAAGAACCAGGCTGGCCAGGGAGGGCCAGGCCCCCATCTGACCCGCCTCTGTCCCCCCACAGCCCCATGCGGCACCTGAGCTGGGCCGGGCTGGCGGAGGCGGCTTCCGGAAATATCGATTCCTTTTATTTAAGCGTCCGTGGCAGCGACAGGGACCCCAGAGCCCAGAGAGGGGCGGCGAGAGGCCCCAGGTCACGCAGCGCGGAGGGGGCCGGGCTGGGCCGGGCTGGGGCGCCACGGGTGGGGCCCTGCGGCTGACAGGCCACACTCCCTCTGTAGGTCAGCGACTTCCTGTCTGGCCGTTCGCCACTGACCCTGGCGCTTCGCGTGGGTGACCACATGATGTTCGTCCAGCTGCAGCTCGCTGCCCAGCATGCCCCTCTGCAACACCGGCACGTGCTGGCCGCTGCAGCTGCCGCCGCCGCCGCCGCCCGAGGAGACCCCAACACAAGCACCCCTGTATCCTCACCTTGCCGGCCCATGTCCGGTGCCACCCGTGTCCCCCCGGTGCCCAGCAGCCCAGCCCCTGCATCTCCCTCACCACTCACAGCTGGGTCCTTCAGATCGCACCCGCCCTCAGCTACCTGTCCCAAGGTCAGTCTGACTGGGGGCTGGTCTGGAGCCTGAGGGCTGTGCTGTCCTCGGACTCCTGGGAGGTTGGCGATTTGCTTCAGGTGGGCAGGTGGTGGCCCTCTCCAGTCCCAGGCCATCCCGCTGCCCCGCCCCACCCCACCCCACCCCTGCTCACCACCCTTTTCTCCACCAGCAGACGGACTGTTCCACTCCAACAAGCAGTGGTGCCAGCACCACATCCACCCCAGGGGGCAGCCCAGCTCCCCGCCCCCGCAAACCTGGCGCTGTCATCGAGAGCTTTGTGAACCATGCACCAGGGGTCTTCTCAGGGACCTTCTCTGGTAGGTGTCCAGCACACGTGGCCCAGGGTCTATGCTCACTCCCCGTGTGGGATGTGTGACTGTACCCATGGTGAACCCCAGGGGCCCCTACACCTGGAGTTTGACCCTGACACTTGGTGTGTGACACGGGTCACTTATCCCGGAGAGGTGACACACTTGAACCTACAGATCTCGCCATACTTCTGCGCCCTACACCCAGGCGACCCCAGTTCACATGCTCATCGCTGGGCCACGTGTGTATTCATCCCATGCCAACCCCCCCCCTCCCCCCCGACAGGCACGCTGCACCCCAACTGCCAAGACAGCAGCGGGCGACCCCGGCGGGACATCGGTACCATCCTGCAGATCCTCAACGACCTCCTGAGTGCCACGCGGCACTACCAGGGCATGCCCCCCTCACTCACCCAGCTGCGCTGCCACGCACAGTGCACACCCGCCAATGCCACCACTACCCCAGCCCCCGAGCTGACCCCCAAGTCTACCTCCTGTGAGAAGCTGCCGGCTGGGCCCCCGGCCTCCCAGATCCGAATGTGTAAGCCCCCTGGTGAGTATCCACCCCCAGCCCCCAACCCCTGCCAAGGACCCTCTTGTGAGGCTCGGCGCCCAGCAGCTGACCCTCCGAGCCATGGACACCAGCTGCTGTTTCCCCTGTCTAAGCTAGAGAAGAGAGCATGTGTGTACAGTGGCACAAAGTGGCCTTGTCCACCCCTGGGAGGGGGGCTGTTGGTCTTTCTTCACTTCCTCTTCACACCCTTCCCCCCCTGGGGGAGCCTTATCCAGATGGCATTCAGAGCTGTTATCTGCTATGAATAGCCAACTCAGACCAGGTTCGCCTAGCGAGGGAGGCCCCCCTGCCCCTTTCTTTGGGGATTTGGGAAAAACCCTCACGGGAACAGGCAGGCACCTGACCTCCCGCTTCCCTTGTCCTCCAGTGAATGGCCATTTCTTCCTACTTGGCTCCCGTTGGGTCACATTGCTCTTCTCAAGCCAGGGCAGGGGCAGGGCACTGGGCTGCAGGGCAGGGGCAGTTGGTTGTTGCAGCAGTCTCAGTTCAGCTGTCCTTGGGAGCACTGGACAAGCAGGTGGCAGGGAGTGAGCCCAGCCTCAGGACGCTGTGGATAAAATTCCGCCTTTGTGACTTTTTTGTGGTAAATTGGGTGATTTGTTAGGGTGAGGGGGACCACAGCCAGCCTCTGTTTTAAACGCAGGTGGGTTGAACACCCCTAAGGGGGCCTGGTGGCACAGTGGGCACTTAATTTAGGCCTGGCCATGGCCTCTGGCCAGGAGACTGCAGACAAACCCCAAGGGACAGTCCTCTGACAGACATTGCAGGGTTGCCCCACCCACCCAGGGCCACCTGGGCCACCTCTGAGGCCAGGCTGGGACTCACACTCCTACCCCCACCCCCACCCAACCCCTTGCAGGGGACCGTCTGCGGCAGACTGAGAACCGCGCCACGCGCTGCAAGGTGGAGCGCCTGCAGCTGCTGCTGCAACAGAAGCGGCTGCGTAGGAAGGCGCGGCGCGACGCGCGAGGCCCCTACCACTGGCCACCCAGCCGTAAGGCCGGCCGCAGCGACAGCCCCAGCGGAGGCGGTAGCAGCCCCGGCGAGTCCACGGGCCTGGGCCTCGACTTTGAGGACTCGGTGTGGAAACCGGAAGTGAACCCCGACATCAAATCTGAGTTTGTGGTGGCCTAGGAAGTGGCCAGGGACCCCGGGAGCCTCCGTTGATCCCGCAGAGCCAGCGCAGGCGCCTCGCAGCAGGAGCCACTCGCGCAGGCGCCCCCCTCCCGCGTCACCGTGGTTTCCCAGACGCCTGTAGACCTCTCACGTGCCCACCCCTCCCTGCTCCGGTCCCGCCGCCCACCTCTGCCTCCCTCCCAGATGTAGCAGCCTCCCAGATGGCTGAGCCGGAAGATGAGGCGGCGCACCCGCCCCTTCCGCTCCGCCCCCTCACCACCTCCACCCCATTCAGGTTAAAGTCAACTCTCGAAGCCTCATGCACTTTACGGGAGGGGAGGGGCCGGAGACCCCCGCCCCTTCCGCCCTGCCCCATCCACAAGGAGACGCCCACTCCGGGACACCCCCTTCCCCCAAAAGGCACCGGAGCCTTGGGACGACCTGCCATGACCAGGCAATCTTCACATTGCCCTCTTTTCTGTTGGGAAAGTCGACCGACTTAAGGCCGCCGTAGGGGGTCGAGGAGGCCCAGAGTGTGCTTCGGGTTGGAGGGAGGGGCAGGACACAGGGCCCTCCCCCCAGGTGCGCAGGCACCTCTCTGCACACTGTGCTACAAACTCCCCTGGCACCCCTAACTGACCTCCTGCCTGAGCTTGGGGTATTTATAGACTATTAATTTCTGACTGAGCCAATCATGGGTCGCAGCCCCCAGGAGAGCACACGGCCATGGGACAGAATATTTCCCCCACCCCATCCATCCCGGCTCCCTGCAGGACCGGGAACTGTGTGGGGAGGGGGCTCTCCACAGCCTGGAAGGGGCGTGCTGAGCTGTGAATCCCTGAGCAGGGCAAAAGCTGTGTAGCATTAACCCCCTGGGAGGGTCGCTGCTGGTCTAATTTGTACCCTCCCCACTTAGTGAGGGTCCTGGGAGTGCAGGCCCCAAAGATGGGGGGTCACTGGGGCAAGCCTCCAGACCGGGGCCATTTCAAAATGGGTGGGCTTTTTTTAAAATTGTTTTTCCAATTTGTTTTTATCTGATAATGGAGATGTTGGGCAATGCCCGACGCCCTTGTCTGAGTCCTGGCCACAATCTCTCATTTCCTGTCCTGTCTTGCACCCCTGTTCTCCCAGCCCTGCTTGTCCGCCCCATAGGTAAACCCCAGGTCCTCAGCCCCCTCCCGCTCAGTCACGTGTTTAAACTTAATGGTTTCAGATGTGAACTTCATGTGTTACTGTAGCTTTGTAAATTTTTTCGTGGGGGGGGTTGGGGGGGCAGGGAGGGGTTAGGGGGTCGAGAATTTTTTTGTTTGGTTTTTTTCAAAAAAACAAAAAGGAAAAAAAAGGCGGGTTTTCCCCAAGAACGGTCTTGGGATCCTATTTAAACGTGTTGACGTGTTCAATTTTCTAATAAACGTATGTGCCTCCACGGGTGGGAGGCGGAGGCTCCCTGGGGCAGCCATGGCTTGTCCACCTCTGCCCTCGCCAGGCTCCCATCCCCCCCCCAAATTACCCGCCCTTGGGGACCGGGCTGTGGGGGTCCCGGACCTTGCAGGAGTTTCTGGTGTGAAAAAACTGAAAGGAAGAAACCTCCAAACACCTTGATTTCGAGTAATAAACAAGATGAAACGTGAATTTGCCTGCTTTGCTGGGGGCGGGGTGCAGCTGGGCTCCAGGCCTGGGGAGCCCTTGCCTGAGTTTGAGGTCGTCTTCCCTGGCTGCAGAGGAACTTAGGCTGGGGTGCTGTGGGAAGGCGAGGGTGGTGCTTACAACTGGTGATAGGAAGTGGGGCCCAAGGCTCCCTAGGAGGGGTGGGGTGAGGTTCCTAAGCGGTTCCCACGCCCCCTCCCTTGGTGTGTGGGGGAGCCAGGAAGTCGCCTGGAGGGGGGGGGGCCTGGCCACTTCCCGCTACTGACGTGGGGGCCTAAGCTAGCCAGCCCCACGCAGGCCTCAGTACCCGTATTTGTGAAATGATGGGTCAGTCTGATGGGAGCCACTCTGGACCTGTTTCCCCAGGGAGTGAGGCAGCTGGATCCTGTTCGCAAGTCCCTCCATTGTCGTTCTTGCTCCAGTGAGCACAGCAGGCAAGGAGCCACTCTGGAGGTGGCCCCTGCCCCTCATTCCTCTTGCAACAGGTTCTAGTGAGCAGGTGCTCAAGGCTTGGTGCAGCCAGCCTCCGTGATCCACACCCCACACACACACACAACCTTGGCCCCGCTGCAGCCACACCTCAGCCTTGCACCCTGGCCCTGACAGTCACGGGTCTTTGCCCAGACTGGCCTCTGCCTGCCGGGAACACCCCTGCTACCCTACTGCCTCTGCCTATATCTCAGCCTGGGAACTTCCGTGCCTGGCGCCGCCCTGCTCCTCCAGGCCTGCCTCCAACCTGGGGCTCCCCAGGGCACTGCCTCAGCCACCCTGGAGCTGTACAGAGACTGGGATAGTCATTCTCATTGTCCCTTTACCGAATCTCTGTGACAGTCACAAACATGAAGTCAGGCGTAATTATGTTTCCATTTTAGAGATGAGGAAACCGTCCAGAGTATTCGGTGTTTGTGAAATTATGTACCCACCCCCACCCCCCCGTGAAGGCTTTTCCATCTGCCCCTCCCACTGCCCAGTCACCCCCAAAGCATCCTGCACTACTCCCTCAACACTCAACAGAGAGGGCGGCTGAGTCAGGCCCCCGCAGTTGACGACAGTAGGGCCCACGGAGCCTCAGGGAGGGCCACAGGGCAGGACTGTGAGTGGGAGAGGTCGCGGCCAGGGCCACATGGTTGAGGTCAGGATGGCCACCAGCCCCTGGGCTAGATGGGGAGAGCAGCTGTCCAGGTGAGGCTGACTCAGCCTGGACGCCAGCCCCCACCCAGCCTGGGGGCCCCTCAAGGGTCACAGCCCTGCCCTGGGGTGGTAGGAGCACAGCATGTCGTGTTTTTGGGGGGTGGGTGGGCGGTGTTTGTCGGAGGGGCTAGCCCTGCTCGGTAGGCTGAGGGAACAAAGTTGGTTCTGAGGGACATGGTCCTACCTTGGCACCTACAAAGACACAGGTAGGGTGGGAGCCTTTGAGCCCTGTTTGTTCACCTGCCCTCAGCAGATGCCCGAGGGTCGATCGGGCCATCCCGCGTAGTGCGGGGGCCAGGGGGCCAGAGCGGGCGGCCAGCAGTGAGCTGGGAGGTGCGGAATGACTGACTAGGGGGCCCAGGGTGGACCCGATCTCGAGGGGCGGGGCCAGCACTGCGCCTCCCCCCTCCCTCCATTGAGGAAAAAGATGAATGGGAGGGGGCGGCCCCGGAACCTGCGGGGAAAGGGAACTCGGTTTCCAGGACAACGCAGCTCGAAACAGGCCTGACGTCATCGCGGCCCCCGATGGCGCGTCCAGAAGCTTAGGTACCGCCCAGCCTATCCGAGGAACTTCATTGGTGATTTATCACTTCACTTATCTGTACGCACCAATAGAGGATAGGGAGTTACCCCTGGAGGCGGAACTTGGGCCGAGTGCGCAGGCCCGATCGCAGAGACGCGCAGTCCCATCCCACTGCGTCTGCAAAGATGGGGGCGGGAGACGCAGGCCCAGGTCTGAGGGCTGCGCCGGACCCGGACTGAAGAGGGGGCGTGCCTGGGTACCCCGCCGCACGTGGACTCTGGCACGCACACGTGCATCCACTCGTTTACGAAGCCTAGGCGTTTCTCGCCGCCCCTAGCCCTGCCTGGCCCCGCGTGCCGGAGCCCAGGCTCAAGTGGAGGCAAAGGTGGTGGTGGTGATGGCAAGCCGACAGCAGAGGGCAAGGCGCCCAGCGCAGCGTGGAAGCATGTGGGGAACAGCTGGGAAGAGAATAAGCACTCCTAGTCTGTGACTTGAGGGAGAGGTGACAAGGGGACCTGGGAGAGAAGCAGGTCCAGGACGTCTGGGGGCAACTGCGTGGACCTAGGAGGGCCTGCAGTGCCTCCGCCAGCTTCTAGCATGGCAAGCAGAGGGGGACACGGGTGACCATGGGTGCCGGGGCAGATGGGCAGGTGACGCTCTGGTTTCTGTGACTGGCAACGAGGGCTGAGGTTCAAGGAAGCAGATGGTTGAAGAGGTTGGCCCGGAGTCCACAGGGGCCCATAAAGGGTGGTTGAGCAATACTTGCACCTGTTGTGGGCCACTTGGCCATGGACGCACCCTGGCTTCCACTCTGAAAGGCCAGAGTGGGGTGGGTGTCTTTGCCAGGTGGACTTGTACCAGTCCCAGGCTAGACCCTGGAGCTAGCCTGAGAACAGGGCAAACCATTGAGTTGCTGGGGCTAGCTATGTGCCAGGTCAAGGCCAGAGGGAACCCAGGCTGGGACCCTGGGTCCAGGGCCGGGACCTCACAGGTGAGCAGTAAATTCCTGTGGCAAGGTAGACAGGTAGAAGGTCACAGGGAGGCCCTACCCCTGGGGAGAGAAGCCTTGTGCATGTAGGGTCAGGTTCTGTACCACCAGCAACAGGCATGGTACCCCAGGCACAGAGACCCCACCAGGCCTGGGTGTGACCCCACCTCCTGTCTGGGAGCGTGAGAGTGAATTTGGCCAGGCTGGAGGCGCGTCCTCAGACTGGTCACCTGAGGTCCCAGCCCCAAGATCTGCCTCCAGCCTGGGAGGGCCCCAAACGGCCACCTCCTATGTCACCTGGCCCCTGGGATCCTCGAAGCCACACCTGTGGAGGAGGGCGGCTGTCACCTGGGCCCTGCTCTGGATCTCTTGGTTCACAACTCAGTTTACCTCCTCCTCCCTCCCTGTCCTTTCCCCCTCTGCCTCTTCCAAGTCTCTGGTTCCCTCCCCCTCCACTTCTCTTTCCCAGCGTCTGCTTCTCCAAGAGGCCTCCCTCAGTCCCTCCGCCTCTATTTCTGTCTCTGTCTCCTCCTCTCTGGCGGTCTCGGCTATTTTTGCCTGTCTGGGTCCCACCATCTCCTCTGCTCAGGCCCATCCCCCACTTCCGCCCCTTCTTGGGGCCTCCACCCTCCCCTCCCCCTGCTGGATTTCCAGCCTCCTGGCTCTCCCTGGGGGCAGCTGCCCCGGAGGGCGCAGAGATAGAGGGGGTGGGGTCCAGTCAGAGGTCAGACAGAGAGGGGATAGGCAGGGCAGATGGGAGGCCACCCTAACCCCTCTGGAATGTGGGTGGGGCCAGCCCCCTATGGGAGGCCCTCCCTCTGGACATGCTGGGGACAGCTGGTGACTACTGCCTGGGGCTCACCCTGACTTAAGATACAGTCAACAGAACCCCCTGGAGTTAAACCCGGGCCCCCAACCCCAATCACACCCAGAGCAGACGCCTTAGCTAAGTAAGCCGGACCTAGCCTGTGCTTATGAACCTGCAGTGAGCCAGGTCACATGGATTTGATGTGAAAAAATGTGGAATTCTTCACTCCCGCTTAGTAAACTCAAGTGCTCAATTCCTTACTGGATAATCTGGCCCCAGTCTAACCCGTCTCCCTGTCGACAGTCACGTACTTACAGGCACCCACTTCCAGTTATGGCCCCCCAACCAGCCCCTGACCCCACAACACAGGACACCCCAAACACCAGCACTGCCTGTAGACCCTTGCAGAGGCCGCTCCCAGCCTGGCCATGGGGCGAGTATGAGGACATGGGCCCTGCAACAAGAAGAAAGGACAAAACAGGTTACATACATGGTCACTCCTTGGTGGACACTGGCTATACGATGCCCATTTCTGGGTAAAGCAGCTGATGTGCAGAGGGGCCTGGGTGCTGCCCTCCCCCGCCTTCCCCCGGCTCCTCCATAGTCCTCCTCTTATGTTACGAGGAGCCCGGTTGAACTGCTAACCACAAGGCAGCAGTGCATGCCCACCAACCACTCCTTGGGAGAAAAATAAGGCTGGCTACTGGGATAAAGCAGGCCGCCTCTGGGTGGAATCAGCCTGCTGGCAGTAGGGTGGTTGAGGTTTGGGTTTTGCTGTGTTTGGCCATAACTGCCAAGTTGGGGGTCTTGGGGACTGACTGATGGCTAGCCTGTGTGGTCTGTATGCACGGTCGCCTGGGAGCGCCGCAGACCTGGGCACCTGTGTGCAGGTCTGTGGGGACAGACATCTGTGCTGTTGCTGTACCTGCTGTACACCCCCACGTGTGTGTCCTGTGTGCACTCTGAGCCCCTGTAACTGCCCCGGGGAGCACTTTTCATTTGTTCTACCCTCATAGCCGCCAGGTGGCTGGCACCAACCCCAGCTCAGGGCCCTTCTCCACCATGTGTGTGGAGAAGTCATCTGCACCACCAGGTATAGGGCTCCTGATCGTGTCTGTGGAGATTTCATCTCCAGGTGCGAGGGCCCCGGTCATGTGACTGACCAAGACTTCGATAGCACAGGGGCTCCTCCTGGACCTGGGAGGGTGGGTGGGAGGCGCTGTGTCTAATATCTGAGGGTGCATGGAGTTGGGGCAGTCTAACATGTCCACTTTAGCATAGTCCTAGCTCTTCCATGTACTGTGTGCCCAGGCATTCCATGGACACACATAACACGGATTTTATTGGAAACAGGAATAGCCTTTGTGTGTTCCCTGGAGGGCCTCCATCTGCGCCCCAAGGGCATGAAGACAGAAAGAGCAAGTTCAGTTGTGACCCCAAGGGCACATACCCACATACTGGTGTCTGGCCTGGCGTGTGTCTCTATCTGTGTGAGCCCAGGTTTCACTGTGTACAGCATGTTCGTTTTTTTTGGGTGGTGTGGAGCTTGCTGCACATATACTTTGTGGGTGGGGGCTGCAGTTACTATGCATGGCCCGGTGGGACGCTGTGAGCTGTGTGTTTGACTGTGGGCATGCTACGTGAGCATAGGGCCGTGTCCAAAAATAGGACTGTGTGTTCCCTGGGGTGGGGGGCCTCAGCTGGGACCTCTGTGAGCAGATGACTACTTTCCCTGTCTCAGGCCTGTGGGGAGGGGCTGAGTCATTTGGAGACCAGGCCTGACCCTGTGCTGCCCCCCCCCACCCCCCCAGCCCCTCCAGACTGTGGAGGAGCAGCAGGGAGACTGAGGACCAGATGCAGCCCTCTTGGCCTGGCCTAGTAAGACACCTGGGGAGTTAAGGGAGGGCAGGTTTGGCCCTGGTTCTTGCTAAGTGGTGTCCCCTTTCTGAGGCACCCCAGCTGCTGCTGGCCCAGTATGGTGCCCACAGTAAGGGTGGTAATGAGTCACCACAGGCTGGATCCTTGTGATGCCTGCTCCCCTGAGTCAGACACATGGGGCTCCCATGCCCAAATCCCAACTGTGCACTGTTTGCATCCCAGTGCATACATGGCCACACTCCCCATGCGGAGACACACACACACACACACACACACACACACACACATACTGACCTGAGCTTCCTGCACACAATCCCACACCCGTGCACTGGCATGCACACGCACACTTGGTCCTGACTCTTCCTCTTCGTGCCTAAGTCCTCCCTGCCCACGGGTACATGTGTGCACGCACCCCCACCGGGGCTCTGGCCTCCACGGATGCGGGCTCTGCTCCATGCTCCACGCCTCCGCCAGGCCGCCGCCAGGTGCACCGTCCGGCCCCCGCCCAGCCGGGAGGGGCGCTAATTACGCGGCCTTGGGGTCCCCCCACGCTCCTTTCATCCCGGCGCGCCCGACCCTGGCCAGACGCTCATTACGCCTCCCGCCCGATCATTAGCGGGGTCGGAGGAGGCCCGGCGTCCGTCAGGCAGGCCCGGCCCGCGGGGAGGGCGGGGAGGGCAGCAAAAGCGCAGCCCTCCTCGTTTCTACGGCGACGCGGGCGGGCGGAGGCGGGGGCTGGCGCCCGCGGGTTGCGGGGCGGGCTTTTGAATCGTTCGCGGGCCCGGAGGGACGGCGTCTGGGAGGCCTCGCACGCGATTCCCGTTCCCCTAGGCGGGCGGCCATTTGTAGACCCTGCTTCTCTAAGGCGAGCCCAAGGGTCGCGGGCGAGGCCACACCTTGTGTGGGGCCGGGCTACCCACCCCACGTGGAGTCGAGCGGGACTGAAGGCTCGCAGGGTCGAGGTCGGGGGAACTAGGGACTCAAATAGGACCCTTCTCCCACCGGAGTTCCCCAACCCCCGGCCGACACGGGCGCTTGGACCGAGGGGAAGACGGGGCGGCTGAGGCTGCAGCGCCCCCTCGTGTCGGAGATGCAGATCGCGCCCAGGACCCAAGTGGTGCCCGAGCGATGGCAGAGAAAGGTGGTCTCATCTTTAAGGGTCCCCTCACAGAATACACAAAGACGGTCACGGGTCGGCACCGAGTCACGAGTGCATAGAGGCCTAGATCACCACGGGGCCTCGGGGCCCTGCCAGGTACACACCTGCGATGCAGGTACGAATGCTGGTGCAAGTAGGGACAGGTGCTCATGAACGTGAGAACACGCTGAGAATCCTCTGCCCACAAAGTACACGCAGTGGTGGGTGCAGCTGGGGCTGAAGTGAGCGCTTACTAACTATGAACGAGCAGGAAGAACGAATGAAGGAGTCCCAGCTTGGTACAGACCCAGCAGCTGGCAGCAATGCAGGGCAGTGTGTGCGTTTGGGAACCCGGGGCTCAAAGGCAAGTGGAGGAGGATGTGGGGCCTGGGTCTGTTTTGAGGCAGGTGGCCCAGGTACCTGGTGTTACAAATCAGAAGGGAGGGGCGGCTGCATAGTTTGTCTCCTCAGTGGCTTTTTCCCTGGGCTCCTATGTGTGCCCATCCTCCCACCCCCTGCAGCAGCTCCGCGGGAGGGAGGCTGAATGCCCTGAATCCTGTTCCTTTTAATAGCTACCCTGCGTGAG